AAATAATAAAATGGTGATCTTATGAAGTAATGAATATCGTAAACAAAGATTTCTACAAGAAATGAAAAATTGATAACCATTACGAGGTAGGTTAGTAATAGCACTAACAGGATATCAAATAAAGAGGTAGAAAATATTAAATTCATCACTATATAAACTAAAGAAATGTTATATAGTTAACTGTATGATAATTAAAGATGTATATGTAGTATTTGTACTTAAGCATAAAGTTACACAATGGGCTATCTGTGTTCTGCACACCAAGGGGGATCGAAACATGGTTTTTAGCGTTATAAGTCTTCATACTTACCGCTGTGCAATACTTAAAGAAATATTATATAAATAACTATGTAATAACTACATCAGAATAAAAAAAAAGTTATAGCGTTACGAGTTAGGTTACGTAGATCTTGAAATTTTAGCAGTTAGAGTTTGTTTTAAAACCTTAGTTTCTTAATAAACACATATTAGTTTACAGAGAATATTAAATTATGTTCCCATGAAAGATAGCTAGAGCAGATCTAATTAACAAGTGTACTTTAGAATCGAGAGAACTCCGTTATCACTATACATAGAAAGAGTGTAAATATATATAATATTAACATCTTTATTACAGAAAACATAAGCGATGTATGACTAGTCATACCTGCTCTACAATTTAATTCTCAATACTTTATAAACTCTTAAGTAAAACAAGCAAAACAAAAACAACTGAAAACAGTAAACATACTAAAACAAAATGCAATAAACAAAGACTTATGATTGACTATGAAAGGTAAAGCAAGTCTACTGCACTCAGTTTAGAAGTTAGTTTTAGCTCTGTCTTTTAATGTGCCAAGATTATTAGCAATATGCTTTGATATACAATCTCGTAAATGAATCAGTCATTCTTTCAATAAAGAACGTGAGAATAAAAGGAGACTTTTAACAGTTATATGTAACTTGTACGTTTTCAGTGGTTATTTCGTTTCTGTTAAATCATTTAATGTGGTTTATAAATCCAACCATTATGAGAACTCATGAACTTATTTGCAAAGCACAAT